ACGATGGCTTTCTTTGGCACTGTGTTCAACCGCAGCGAGCTACCTATCAGCACCTTCACTGCATCGCAGCGCTACGTCGGTGTCAACATGCGCACCTTCCTTCTGATCGCACCCCAGCGCGTGAGTCATTTGTACCTTTGACAAATTATTAGCTCATCCTTTGAAAGTCCCAGATATGTCGTTCATCGGGGCGACACCCAGCAAGAGCACTGGCAAGCAGGGTCAGAGGGCCGGCACAGGCAAGATGCCCTCTGTGCCATCGCGCAGTCTTTTGGAGATGCGCGACAAGACCACCTGGAACACGCAGGACGACAGTAAGTGCAGAATTGTCTCATATATTTCCTGCCTATGCATAGCTCATTGATCTACAGTTGGCGTGTGGGACGGCACCGCGTACTTCAAGAAGAACAAGAAAGCCTCCTTGAAGTTCTCGTTCGACGAGGTGCACAAGCTCCCGCGCCTGGAGACTGATCCCGGGTTTGGTGACATTGTCGTTGTTTTGTACTCCACGTCCTCGTACCTTCGCGACGACAAGATCAACCTCAGTCTGAACCTGTACGGTGTTGTGCTGGTTGCCCGCGCGTAAGTCGTGTACTTCTATATATGTTATTAGCAGAGCACTGATGTCTGTATTTTAGGGAGTGAATGCGGCCTTATGCAAAGTATCTTGTAATCTCTCTCTCTACTTCCATATTTCTGCATTGTATCTGCTGCTACCAAGGCTGACATGATTGTCCACGCCTCTATATCCTGCAATGCAATCACGTGTTGACCTGTATGCAGCTAGGGTTACATGAGCGCCCATGGAGTGGGTTTCCACTTGGTAAGAAATCTGATTAACAAATATCTAAGGCTAACCCTAAGCTGTGCTAATGAAGGGGAACCCTAACCCCATGAACATTAGAAAGTTTTGTATGTGGCGCCTATTTCAAATCTAATGATAGGTAAGTATTTTTTTCCCACGGGGTTGACTTTCCGACACGCAAGTTGGCAGGAAGGTCACCCCATAAGAAACGATTTCTTCGTTCCTCATCAATCGTAATAGGAATATTTGCGGCAAGTATGTGGTCATTGTCTTTAATACTTTGCAGCATTTCCTCTGGTACATAGTGTTGAAATGAATATGTAATGTTTATGTCAGCAGTTTGGGGTTTGCAGCATACAAAGTGTTGTAACTCATTATATGTCCAAGAATTTGCATACCTGCCCCTACATATTGCAGCACCTCCTCTCAGTACAGTTGCAGTTGTATATAAGGCACAATAGGTATATGTGAATTGTCAGATTTTGATTGGGTCAACACATTAAAGCCCAGATATTTGTGATAGAAAACAACAAAGTCATGATGTCGATAATAGTTATGCTGACAGAGACATTTTACCCGCTTAGCTTGGATATTGACAGATTTCAACCACAGTTCATGAATAATTATAATGTGTTTATAGAAGTGGATTGAATTCAGAGGCCTTGTCATGCAGGTGGCCCCTGAAACCCTATGTGCATACAGGTGACTTGTTATGCAGGTGTCCCTAAAACCCATGTGTGCATAAAGGTGACTTGTTATTGCACAGGTGTCCCTCAAACCCTTGTGTGTGTGCAGGGACCTTGTCACGAAGGTGGTCTCTGAAACCTCGCTGCAGGGCAGCTGATATGAGGGACTTGTCATGGAGGTGTCCCTCAAACCCTCACTGCTGTACAGCAGTAACCCTATATAGGGTGATGTGGTAATGACCCTGTCCAGGGGATTACCAAAAGGTGCCCCTGCATGATTATAAGTATGTTAGATCAATAAAAGTGTGACCAAGATTTGAACGCACCTTGAAGGCCAGTGACCGCCAGATTGCCAATATTGCTGCTCACAGCAATGGTAGAAGAGGTAGCACTGTGATATAGCAGCCACTGACATGGTGTCAGAAGGCTACTATACCACAGTAGCAAGTATAGAATGATAGAATGTGCTGGGTATGCATAGTGCAAGATGGTGAGAGGAAGAAGTGAGAGAGGGAGGTGTGGGCGCATCAGAGTTCAAAGTTGAACATGCTTATGTAATCTCATCACCTGATCAGTTTGCCATATATGGTCCAATAGCACACATTAGCTGTAAAACTGCATTCATGATGGTCTGAGCCTTTGTTAGGATCATTAAACAATCATATAGACAGCACCATTGGATAGAGATTGAAATTCTGAACCTGGTGGTATATAACACTTGGGGGTGAGGCAGTGATGTCATCAGGGCATGTGCCATGGGCGCTTTTTCTAGTTGTGGCACTAATAGGATCTTGTCTTGTGTATAGTGGCAGCTGCATTAGTCACATTCAAATCATTTTTGAGTATATGGACTCTGCTCATGCATAGCTTTCTGTTGATATATATTTCATGACATATAGCCAACTGGGGGCCAAGATATTGAGGCATTTGTGTTGGGAACCAAACAAGACCGCAGTCTGTGGCAGGGGAACACTGAGCTGCGTTCCCCTGCCACCAAGTATGGTCTTGTTTGTTCTCAGCCACAGCTGCAACTCATTTTGCCCCCTGTTGGCTCATTCTTTACCACATCATAGGACAAATATATATCATTGGAAAGGTCTTTCTAATGTGCATCTAATGGTGGTACAATCATGGTTTATATTGAGTATACAGGTTTCAATGCACCAAACACCAATTGTGGCTCAAGGTCATTGCCAGATTGTATGCACAATACCCAGTCTTTATGCTCACTAATCCATACATCTGACTTCATTATAATATTGCAGGACACTTTCATTATATAGGGCAGAAGATAGTGTTGGAAATGCATTAAAGAAGTGGCATTATCTGGACCTGAACATATTTTCACTTCAATGTATGCCTTCAAATGGCATTCCATTGACCTACAAACAACACCATTGTGTAGAGCTCAAATTTCTGAACCTGACAGTATATAACACTTCATATTAGGCCTGGGAAAATACTGACCTAGGCCCACACTGATCCCCATTAGTGACAAATTGTGACCCAGAGTCACTTATGGTGGGTTGGTTGGCTTGTAGCACTCCCATATGTGCTCAGTATCCTATACAAACACCCCCATTGCATTCTCCTCATCAACAGCTTTCTGGTGATATATAATAGTGGTATGTTACACCATACACTTGTCTATTAATGAGCACATTATGTTGAGCTGTGGCTGAAAACAAACAAAGCCAAAGCTAGTTGCACGACGACGCGGAATCGCGTCGGCATGCCATTGGCTTTGGTCTTGTTTGGCTCTAAACAGAGAAGGGTCAATATCTTGGCTTCTGCTTGTCCAAATGGGACATATAATATATCGCCAGGAAGCTGTTGACAAGGAGAATCCATCTGCACAAAAGAATAAAGGATGTGGTGACAGTGGAATAAGATATGGACCAGACATATTTCTATTAGTGCCACAATTGGCAATAAGCGCTAGTGGCCTGGCATATTCATCAAATGGTCAAGTATTATATACTATTGGGCTCAGAATATTGATCTCTATTCAATGGTGATGCTATGATACTAGTGTACCCAGAAAATTCCGCTATACAAGCAATGTAATACCTCAATACAACACCAGAAAGAGGTAAGTGGGCATGATTAAACCCATATCTCTGTCAGTTTTTGGTATATATACATTATTGTTTCTGCAGTCATCCTAGTACCAAGACAGCAATGTCATGTAGACACATCATAAATACCTGGGCACACTGTGGGCTATAAACAACACAGGAGCAGTATTGGCCTACAAAGTGGTATAAAATGTGCGAAATCAGATTTCCTGCAGTGGTCTGCTTATCAATAAATGTTGATATGC